GAAGCTTACTTTCCCAGGCACTCAACAGTATACCTTCTGGCTCTAATTTATCACCGGTATTTTTGGACCCAGTGTAAAAAAGACCAGAGATCTTATCCCTAGGATACCCTTCTCATTCCATTCCCTCTCCCCAGGTGAACTTATCCACACTCTGCTAATGACTCTCAAATTTGTATCTCCAGCCCAGCTTTTCCTCTGACTTCTAGCCATGTATATTCAGCTGCCTTTAAATGTCTCTACTTGGATGTCTAAAAAATAGCTCAATATGTCCAAAACAAATTCTGTGAGCCAGAACATGCCCAGAACATGCTCACGCCTTCTTCCCTTTTACTGTCTCTATCCTTCCATTACTACCTCCCTTTACTTTTACCCCCTAATCATTCTGGGACCATCTAGTTCTCTCTACCTTACTGCCCTACCCTGCTCCAGGACACCATCATTGTTTTTCTGAACACTTCAGTGGCTTTCCAGCTAGTTTCCTCAAGTTCTCTCAACCCCCCCCTAACCTGTCGTCCACGTCGTAGCTGGAGGTTCATTGTAAAATCACAAGTTAATGCTATCCATCTCCTGTGTAAAACCTTCTTGATGGTTTCTCTTTCTTCCTAGGCCAAAAACTGGAATTTTGACTGGCCCCTGCCTTATCAGGTTCCTGCTATCTCCTGTCTCATTCCAGACTCTGAGCCCCTAGCATATTATTTGGCTCAGAGATGGTCCTCTAAGATTTATGGGGTGGGTAAATGGCTGAATATATCTTGGGTTGAAAAATACATGAATGGCATTCTATCTAATTGATGATAAAATCAGATATTAGACTTTTGCTATTTCAGTGATGTTTCACCATTTTTTTAAAGAGTGCATATAGTAGCTCAAGAGAGGGAGAGAATCTTAAGCAGGCTTCACACCCAGAGCAGAGCCAGCCAGAGCTGCTTGAAGCCCGTGGGGGGCCATCTCACAACACTGAGAGCATGACCTGACCTGAAGTTAAGAGTTGGATGCTTAACTGACTGAGCCACCCAGGCGCCCCTCAACATTCTTTTACCAATTTAACACAATCAGTCTTGCCTTGAAATTGCAAGTTTATACAAACCCAGACATTCAAAATACAAGCTAGCCCTAAATGGTTTTGTTGTAAAATTGTGATTATAATACTAAATTCATTCTTTTCATCTACTTCTTCACCCTTACCCACCCACCGGCCTCTCCTCCTCAGAAGAGAGCAGTGAATTATCTTTTGAATATTTGACCACTAGAGACACATTTGGTGTGCACCTTACTACTCCCATACATTCAAAGTTTGGGTAAAATCCATTGAATTCCCTCTCCGTGCACAAATTAAAAACCAAAGCAAAAAAAATTTTTTTTGGTAAAATTTTGATCATGCATTTTATAACGATGTGCACAAAAATGTCCCTTTGTCATAATTCAGTCTTGGGATACTTACTGATTATCGGGTAGTTCTTATTCCAATTAGCCAGTATATAAGAGAGTGTATTTGCCTGCTCTAGGGGGTGATGACCCCATGCTTTGGAGGGAGATGAGCAGAACTGAGTTTGAATCCTGGATTTACCCTTGGGTAACTAAATGATGTTGCTGTAGATCCTAGCTCAGAGGGTTGCTATGAGGATAAAATAATATGGTTAAAGCACTTACCACCTGGTAAGCATTCAGTGTATGGTAGCTACTATTATACTGTTGTTCTTACCCACAGAATCTTTCTTCAGGTTCCCTGGACACATGCACACACCTACCCAAACAAGCACACAAAAAGCAATATACTTGTAATAGTATATTGACTGTATGTTTTATAATAAGCAATATCAAAGTTCTATTTTATTGAAGAATTATTGTCTCTTAGATTCAGGTATTAAAGTATTTATAGATGGGATGATTTTATGTCTTCAGTTTGCTTCAAAACTTGAAGAAAGATGGATGAGATCAGGAGTGAAGGTATACACAAAATTGGGCCTGCAACTCACCATGGAAGTTGTTCTATTTTCTGCACGTTTGTGTAGATTTGAAATTTTCCATGATAAATTTTCAAATTCACTAAAAATAGTTACTGAGTAGTCTCTTAGAGTCATTCTCATTCAAGGAGCCAGCTCTCAACTCACCTTCCTTTATTTCTTTTGGAAGAGTCACTGATTCCAGTGATCTAAGCAGAAAGACTCATGTCATTCTGTTTTATGACTCTCGGAATAGTTCACGGTAGAAACACAATAAATAGAATTTCTGAATTTCCTTTGTCCTCAACTACTTGGGATGCTTCTGTGAAACCACTGTGGGCATTTTAACCCTGATTACCGGGCAACAACAATGTGTAAAATAACTCTTTCTACCCTTCTCTGCTTGTATGACAGAAGTTAGAGCTATGAAATACTGGTGTTCAATCCGCTAATGAATGATGAGCCCATAATTGTGTATTTGGCATTTTGGGATCTGAGCCTCTGCCCTGTATGAACTTGTGATCTTCATTGTGTAGCCTTGTTAAGTTTGGCTGTTGAGTTACATGTTGGCATTGGAGGTGGAGGAACTACTCCAAAGCCCAAAACTGACCTCTCCCTATTTCAAAGTCATAGTCATGGGTGGTTTTTGCTTTTTTTTTTTAAAGTAAAAATGATTACCCTTAGAAAGGAAGCTGACTGTGGCCATGAATGGATCTTTAACCTTTGGATCTATTTGACTAACCCGGTCACTATTTTACTCTTTTATCTGGCTGCAAGCAAAGTATTATGATTGGGTCCATAATTGCCTTTCCAAAAGTAGTTTCCCTTCTCCAGCTTCACCAAAGTGAAGAATTTGAGCTTATATTTCAGGATTCTTCTTTTCCCTCTGGAATCTATCTCTAAGGGGGTAAATTACATCCCTTTGTCTAAGTTTAATTACTTTGGAACAAGGATCCCAGTGGGGTTTATGAAGCTTCCTTTCTTCCCCTAAAAATAAGACAGGCTCTGCGTTGGCTAGGACAGCTCACTGTTGTCTGTATGAAATGCTTCTGTTTATCTCTTTGGTCAGCACCTTCTGCAGGCCCAAGCTAGAGCGAAGGGGGAGGAAGGCTTTAGCTCCAGCAAGGGGAAAGACAGGTACATAGACAGAGCCTTCTGGAATACAGTGCCGGCTGGGTGCACCGTCATAGAGGCATGAACTGGGTACTCCATGGACAACGTTGACTATCCCAGGATATCAGGACAGAATTTAAAGAGAAGGTGTGAGACACTTGGACAAAGGGCAGAACTCGTAGCCTGGGATTATAATATGCTCTTAATTGAGGCCCCTTGGGAGCCCGGTGTGGAAGTTTTGTCTGTCAGCACCTGGTATGAAACCAGCAACGGCATTTCCCTTGGGCCTCACACAGTTCTGAAGAATGCCAAAAATGAGTCTGAAATGGCAGGACTGAAGTGTATAACCTCCCTCCATGGCCTCGGGCTTCCTGTAATGGGGATGCGTCGCGCCCCCTGCATGCTCTGGTCTGTCTTCCAGGCTGTGAGGCCGGGTTCCCGGACTTCTCTGTGCAGAGGGCACGGTGCTGGGTGGCTTACAGCACTGATCGCAGGCACTCGTCTCTCCCAGAACAATTCCTGCTACCCATGACAGCAACTGAGTAATATCCAATTAAACCTCGAACTTGGGGTGTTTAGTCACAGACTCCCTTGAGCAATCACAGGTCAGTTCTTGAAACCGTTGTAGGTTTCTGTTAGCACTTGTTTTCTGTTACCAAAGAAAATCCTTTACGAGCCCTCAGCAGGCTAACAGCTTCAGGAGAATTCAGAGACCCAATAACCTTGTTGGGCAACGTGGGAGAGCAGGCTCTGGGCGCAGGTCCACACGGGCCTGGCTGGCTGGGCTAGAACATGGTGCTGACAGAGGCCACCCGCGGGCTCACTCCGATCCCCCACAGTCTTGCTCCTGGGGCGGCAGACTGTAATCTCTAACCTTGACCACCTCTGATGTGCGCTGTCTGTCCCCGAGGATCCAGACAAGCAGACACTAATAGGGCCTAGGGTCTGTGACCACTCCTGAAAGAATAGCTGAGAAAGACCACGCTCCTGGCAGTGGCCTCCCTCCCATGTACAGGCTCCCAGTCATCCCACCCGCTGCCCTGCGTCTCGCAAGTCCTCCCTCCCATGGGTTACATACATCTAGCTTCTGCTGTGGGGACTGTGGAAAGGAAACTTTCCACGGATCACAGCCCACTGAAAACATTTGCTTGTTGGAAAGTGGGATTTTGTATGGAGGTGGGGAACGAGGCCGGGTTTGGTTTAAGATGGAAAAAGCTTGCTTTTCTGCAGTGGGCGCGCAGAGACCCAGCACACCTCTGCTTACACTGCTTACTCCTGGGGAGACTGCTACCAGGGGCGCCCAAGCAGAGAGGAGGACTGCTCTGCGTCCCCACTGCCGTGTGCCTGGAAAACTCCTCTGCTTTTATCTCACTTATCGGGGATTCCTAGAAAACAGGACTCTGTTTTCATTCCTGGGTGTCTCTGGTGACCGCTCTCTGTAAGACCTGTGTGATCAGGCTGTATCAACTCGTCAGCTCCCAGGGCACAGCTTGGAAACTGGTCCCGCCAGCTTGGTCATCCCCTCCCTTCTCGGAGCTGAAATGTGATCCCGGGCTGGACAGACACCAGTCTTTCCTTCAGGTCAAGCAGGCCAGCAGAACTTGATTCCCAGAGCAGGGGTAGGAACACAGAGCCACGGGTGCCCCACCACAGCTCCAGAAGGACGGTCCTTTAGCGACCATGAAGAACTCCCCCCCCCCCACCATCACGCCTCTTGGTTGTTAGACGTGGTGACCTATTCACATGGGACCATCGTCTAGGAACCATGAGGGAAATTTTGAGAGTTGACCCAAAACTTTTTCCAAGATAACCCAGAGAAGTTTGTTTCCTTTGAGGTGGATGCCGGAAGCTTGCTTGGTGTGGTCTCCTCACTCACCCTGCAAGCCAGCCCATTGGGGTGTGGGGCCTGGCCATCTTACATATGCTGCTCACTCTTTCTTTCAGAGATCTGAAACTGGACAACGTGCTGTTGGACCATGAGGGCCACTGTAAGCTGGCGGACTTCGGAATGTGCAAAGAGGGCATCTGTAATGGAGTCACCACGGCGACCTTCTGTGGCACGCCCGACTATATTGCTCCAGAGGTGAGCGCAGCTTGGGGAATCCCGAGCATCAATGCCATGGGTTGCCTCTGTACTGAGCTCTGTGGGTGCGCCGAAAGCGGACACCTGATGCCTCACGGGGTGAAGGGTGCCTGAAAATGTCCTTGGTTCCTACAAATAACGATTTGAGTTCAACATTTTGTGTAAACCTTGCAGGGGCTTTTAGGCCTTTGCCCTGAATGAGGACAGAGTGTGCTCTACTCTCAGAGCTTTATTTTTCTTGTTGTCCCTGCTCAGTGCTTTGATCCCAGCCCCACTTAGTGAAGTAAAGACAAGTCCCTCAGTCTTCGCCATGCGAGTGAGCGAGCCCAATGTCCTTGTCCCTCTACAGGGAAACTGTGCCCAAACACTCTCTGCTTTGGATCTGTACCTGCCTTTACCTTGGCTGAAACAGGCCACAGATGTTTGATGACCTGGGTGGAAAGTCCTCTGAGTTGAACCACAGAGAAGAGAGACCATTCTCTAGAGATGAAATGGAGCCTATTTCCCAATCCATTGTTTTCCCTAGTCATTCAGGACACATGCGTTCATCACATGTTCTCCCATTGCCCCCTCTGCCCAGATCCTCCAGGAAATGCTCTATGGACCCGCAGTAGATTGGTGGGCGATGGGCGTGTTGCTCTACGAGATGCTCTGTGGTCACGCACCCTTCGAGGCGGAGAACGAAGATGACCTCTTTGAGGCCATCCTGAATGATGAAGTGGTCTACCCTACATGGCTCCATGAAGATGCCACAGGGATCCTGAAATCTGTAAGTGTGCCTGACCCAGCCAGTTCCAGCCTACGGCAAACCAGCTGGCTGTGCGTGCTTCTTTGGGTCCTTCCAGCACCTCGCACTGGTGAGCAACCAGTGCTAACTGCAGGATGTGTTTTAATCTGCAGAAGAAAAGAACCAGAGTGTCTTCTTCTGTGGTGCAATAGTTCTTTCTGGGCCAGCTGCGAGCCGCTGATAACGTTGTTTGCTGAATATCTAGTGTTTTTAGCTTGTGGCTGAAGCGTAGGTGAAGTGGTGCACCCCCTTTACACGGTCAGGACACGCCAGGGGGTTTGGTCAGGTGAATTCCATTCCTGCATTCTCTGTCAGATAGTTTCTAGGGGATAAGAATTATTTTACTCAAGTTATATCCTTTTCAGTGATTTGAGACCAAAAACTAAATTTGGGAAATATTGGCTATCTTGTTGGAGATTTATCTCTCTTTAGAAATCTTCAGTCATAATCAGTGCCATTTCAAGAACATTTTGTATGCAGGTCACCATGTACTGGGGCTAAAGGCATGATTGTCCCTGAGAGTTCTCCCTAACACTACAAGTGAGATAATCATGGAAATCCTTCTCGGGCAGATATTGCCAAAGTGAATTGTAATTGGTAACTTGATTCTCAAGGCTACGTGCCAGAACTCTCCTGATATTGAGGAAACACTAATCTCTTATAGAAACAAAAGTGAAGTCACTTTGGATTCTACCAAATGTCTTCTACCTAGCCTGTTTTCGTAAGAACAAGTGATTTGTATCATTGGTAGAAGTTTTCGACTCAGGAAACAAAGACTGTGTGGCTTTTATAATTTCATCAATAAAAGACAAAGGAGGGCTTGTCTCTGTGGATTCGTGCCCTGAAACGTCTGAACTTCTAGAAGGGAACTGTACTCACCTAGGTTGGCCCCAGCCAACTCTGATGACCTAAGCTACTTTAACACAACCTAATCATGCTACAGGATCAGGCTTATGCTGCATTATTACTTCTCCAGTACCGTGGTCCATAATCTGGCTCTTCAGGTGTGCTAACCCCCTGTGGCTGACAACCACCACCGTCATTACTGTTTCTTTGTTTTTCATTGTTTTTCATGGCATACGTATTCAATTCAATTACTGTAGCTCATGTAGCATTTTTAATTTTTGCGAGAAAGACCTCAGAGTTTATAATTCAAATGAAAATACTAGTTCAAACTATAAAGAAATGTCCATCGTTGGTTTGGTATATAAATGTCATTATGCTAAGTATCATGAAGGGTAGGAAATAAGTCAGTCTATGCCTCAAGACATGTTAATGTTCTCTATGTAGGGTTAACAGTGCAGGTCGTTTCTCTGATAAATATCTCCTACCTTTTGTCAGAATACGGTGGAAATCTTGAGGTCACCTTATCATTTGAGTTAGCCATCACTCACATGTCCTTCTCTTAATTTTTTTATTCAAAATTTTAGAAGTCCTGAACTTTATTCTAGTATTTCAGAATCCTCTTGAGAGAGTTTTTCCCAACTAAATCTGGGACCTAGATCTTACTCTCCCTCACCCAGTCCCTATAAAACCTAGAATTAGTACTCAGCAAGATTAAGAACCACATGGAACTATTAAGATGGTTTCTTCTTAACCAGATAAGTCCAATTACTTTATACTATATCTTTGATATATATATATATATATTTATTTAATTTTTCTTTTGTAACTAGAATATTTGTTATCCAGTAATATCCTCCCTCCACAATCTTTGCTCTAAGAGAAAACAGAGCTTCTGGTGCCCAAAGAGAGTCTAATCTTCATTGGAGACAGAGTTCCCTCTCCTTGCAGATTTGCTCCGGGGAACCTGTGAACCTCTTCACTTCCTTTTATTTTTCTTTCAGACACCGGTTGCTCAACTGGGTAGAGACTGCACCTGAGATAGTGATATGTCATTGACCTTGCAGTGATTTTCCTAAGTGGCATTCTGTGTTCTTGGTGGGGTGTCTCCCTGTAGGAAGAAGCGTGGGCTTCACTTGGTGACAGGCTTACCTCCCAGCTCTATTCTATTTTGGCTCAGTGACCTGGGTGAGCTACCACACCTCTCTGAATCTCAGTGTCTTTGCTTACAAAATCAAGGTAATAAAATCCACGTCATAAGATTATTATCCAGAACACTATAAGGATCCTGTTTCTTCTTCCTTCAAGGAGTGTCCCTTAAAAGTGATTTTCTGAAAAACACTTGAAAAGGTATCAGATAAAATTACTAAAAAGCATTCACCCAGAGGATTTCTGGGACAGTTTTGTACATTTCAGCCTCTATACCTAAAAATAAAAAGCCTAAGTGCCATAGCAGAGGAAATTCAGCTATTCTTTGCAGAGGGCTGAGACATTTAAATGGAAGTGTGATCAAGGAAAAAGAAAGAAAACAGTTAAGAACACTCAGGACTTGAGGAGAAACACTGAGGAGGAAAGGCTTCATCCAGGTTTGGTGGTGAAGACCCTGTCCCCATGGGCAAATATTGGCTCTTTGCTCTCTGGCTGTGTTCCCCTGGGCACATAGTGTAATTCTGCGATGCCTCTGTTTCCTTATCTGTGCAAGTGGGGCATGAGCTAGTGTGTGGGGAATATTTGGAACAGTGTTCAGCAGAGGAGATGCTCAGGAGGTGGCCACTACTGTCATCAGTGGTAGCTGGGTCTATGAAAAGATTTTTAGATTTTTTGCCCTTCTCTTTGAAAAATGCTTACTTTGTTTATTGTATTAGGAAGAAGGTTTAAGGTATCAAGTCATGCTTAAAAAACATTCGGACTGCTTTCTGGCTTTAATTGCTACTTGATTTAATTAGAACAATATAGTTTTTTATTGCTAGAAGAAACTTTAGAGATTGTCCATTCTAATCCCCTCATTTTATAGATATGGAAACTGAGGCCCAGAGAAATTATGACTCACCAAAGGCCATTCAGCACCTTAAACAAGTAAATTAGAACCCTTGTGCAGTTTTCATGGGAAGGTAAGATGGTGCAGCCACTGTGGAAAACAAGATGGCAGGCAGTTTCTCAAAACATTAAACATAAAATTACCACCCGGCCTACAAATTCTACATCTGGATGTATTGCCAGAAGAATTGAAAGCAGGGACTTGAACAGATATTTGTACACCAATCTTCATGGCAGCATTATTCACAATATCTGAAAGGTGGCAACAGTTCAAGTGTTCATCGAGAGATGAATGGATAAACAAAATGTGGTATATGCATACAGTGGATGATCATTCGCCCTTAAAAAGGAAGGAAATTTTGAGGCATGTTACAACACGATGAACTTTTAAGGCATGCCTAATGAAAAGAGCCAAACCCCAAAGGACAAATGTATGATTCCACTTTTATGAAGTATCAAGAATGGCCTAGAAAGTCACACTTATAGAGACAAAAAGCAAAATGGTGTTTGCTTTTAGGCTTTTGACTAGGGAAGGGGGTGTAGGGAATTAGTGTTTAAGGGGCATGGAGTTTCAGTTTTGAAGAATGGAAGAGTTTCTGGAGCTGGATGGTGGTGATGATCACACAATAGTTTGAATGTTTTTTTTTTTTTAACCATTTTTTTAAAAAGATTTAATTAATTTATTTATTTGACAGAAAGACACACAGTGAGAGGGGGAACACAAGCAGGGGGAGTAGGAGAGGGAGAAGCAGGCTCCCTGCTGAGCAGGGAGCCCAACGAGGGCTCCATCCCAGGACCGTGGGATCATGACCTGAGCCGAAAGGAGACACTTAATCAGCTGAGCCACCCAGGTGCCCCCAGTTTGAACAATCTTAATGCTCCTGCACTATACATTTAAAAATGGTTAAGAAGGTAAATGTCATATTCTGTATATTCCATAATTTAAACAAAAATAGAAAAACAGACAAACAAACAGACCAAAACCCTGGGATCAGAATCCAAATATTCTTAAATCCTTGTCAGTGTTCTGAGCTAGACTACATCTGGCCATTCCCCATTTTTCTTCTACTTCCATTAATAAGATCTTGGGCACAGATATGAACAGGGTAGAGGCTGAAGAATAGAAGGAGGTTGGAGGAAATGGCTTAGGGCCCACCAAGGTTCAAAGAATGACCATGGAAGAGGATTCACTTAGGAGGTTAGGAAGAAATGATTTCAGGCCGTATAAACATCTAAATCCAAAACGTGGCTACAGTTTTATTTGTGGCAAAATAAGCCAATGGTTTCACAGTGTGAGCTACTCAGAAACTGATCCCTGCAGTAACTTTTGAGTAGTCCTAGCTAAGGAACAAATAGTCCTAGGCCAGATAACTGAGGGCTTGGGGAATCGGTCTGTGTTAAAAAGTTACGTAAGCCGAGACATTTTTAAGCAATCTGAACAAGCCTTCATATTTTGTCGTGCAGTTCCAGTTTAAGGTAAAGTGCATTGCTCTCTTTAAAAATACAGACTTCAGGGCGCCTGGGTGGCTCAGTGGGATAGGGCCTCTGCCTTCAGCTCAGGTCATGATCCCAGGGTCCTGGGATCAAGCCCCGCATTGGACTCTCTGCTCAGCAGGGAGCCTGCTTCCACCTCTCTCTCTCTGCCTGCCTCTCTGCCTACTTGTGATCCCTGTCTATCAAATAAATAAATAAAATCTTTTTAAAAAATAATAATAAAATAAAAATAAAAATATAGACTTCAAGCCCTTTTCTAGGATTTTGTTACCCGCTATGGTTCTGGGAGCTTGGTGACTTCATGAGTTCCTAACATTGAATGTTGACTCCATTGGATGGTGGCCTGCATGGTCCTAAAAATTGTCAGGAGGCCCTGCATGCTAAGTTTTGGATTATAATCACTTGTTATCACCCTTCATTTCACAGAGCTTGGCGACTGTTAAAAACACACAGAGGGGGGCACCTGGGTGGCTCAGTGGGTTAAAGCCTCTGCCTTCCGCTAGGGTCATGATCCCAGGGTCCTGGGATCAAGCCCTGCATCGGGCTCTCTGCTCAGCAGGGAACCTGCTTCCTCCTCTCTCTCTCTCTCTGCCTGCCTCTCTGCCTGC